GATAACAAAAAAAAGTCCTTTCTTGATCGGTCACTCATTGGAATTGTGCTTGCATTCTCTTCTAATTTAGTTAATTATGAACATGTGAGACAAACTAGTGTTTTTCCAAGTCATTAGACCACCTCTACTTTCTATTCATATAAATATTCTCATTTTCATTTTCATAAATGAAAATAAGGAAACTCATCTTTAAAGAATAAAACTTATCTCCTTTCTTATTTCCTGCCTATCGATTTCAATAATAAAACAGATCAATCATGTAAGTCGCTTTGGTCTGAGTCAGCGAAATTAAATACAAAAGTTATTCCCCTTGGTTCAGTAATATATTTTGGACGATATGTAACATTAAAACACTTGCGTTGTTACCAGCTTTATGGAAAGTGCATAATCATACCAAATGGTGGGATCAATTTGTGCTTTGTAATCAATTTTATGCACTAAGGATAAAGAAAAGATTATTTCTAATTATGTTATAAAAGTACACTATACTATTTTCAGATCTTCTATTAATCATTTCGAAAAGTCCTTGACAAGGTCTAAGACGGTAGGTAGGTAGATGACAAGTTAACGTTCGCTTCCAGCGGATGCTGATATCGCAAACTAGGTAATTGTTGGTAGTCGTAGTAGTTGGTAGTTGGATTGGATCAAATTGGATGATTCGGTGTTGTTGGTTTGGTTGTTGATTCTTCGTTAGATCTGGTCGGGTCGAATAACATGGCGGTGAAACTCGGCCCTGGATGGTGTGGCGTGAGTTACTCGGTCTCCTTCATTCTTCCAAACTCATTCTGATCATGGTATTTCTTGTTGATTGGTAGTCGAATGGTAGTCGTTGGTTTGGTTAGATTATCTGTAAGGTCTAAGACATTAAATGTTGCTTTATAAACCCAAGGTTGAAGTGCAAAGTTATGGTTATTAAAAGAGTATGTTTTGATCTCGTTTTATAAATGGTTACAGTTAAACACGGGGATACATCGTTTGGTTACATAATTTTAGGTCTTTGACTTATTATCAAGCCAAACCCAACATTTCATTCTCCCTCATCATCAACACATCAGAAAAGTATGACTTAATGAGGATTCGATATTTGACTATCACTTCAATCGAAATTTTTATTTCAATTCATTCTGATTTTTACCCGATCACTCTTCTAGGTTCATTGGACAATCTTCAATAACTATTGTAATATAAAACTGTCAGCTACTTTCTTTTACCCCCATAATTAATATTGTTAACTGTAAGTCGCCCGTAAAGACGATAAGGTAACACCAAGATATTGACTTTCCTAATAAAATACAAATTTCTACAAATATCCCTCCATTGAGTTCTTGATGCTTTTTTCTGTCAGGACATATAAAAAAAATTCGTTCTACTGGTATGCATTATTGGAAACAGAACAGAAATATATTAATGGTTTAATGACGCCATGAATCCTCGAAAAAGCATAATCATAAAGATCTATTCAGTGATAATAGTGCGTTGTTCGAACGACAATGGCCATATACATGCAATCAAAATATTAAATTCATCTCTGATTTAAAAATCGATCAAAGAGACATGTCCTTGTCACAACAACAGTGTCGCATACTATAGATTTTGAAACATATTCAGATTGTATCCATAGAGTAAATGAACTTAAATATTTTAAGAATTGGCTTGTGGCATAAAAAAAGTTCTCTGGTTTCCAAACTCCATTAAATGACCGATATTGACTAATTTTTTCTTGGTAATTATTTTCTACTTATTGCTTTCGTTAATTGAAAATTGTTACAAACAGTTCTCGGTGGTAAAATTTAATGACAGTGTAATCAACTTCACGTCTGCAGAATGAGGTTTTTTTCTTCTCAGCAAATTGTTTTCCTTTACATCAACCTATAGTTTTAGATAAGTTTAATTGCTTGTTCAGTCGGATTCATTCATATACTTTCCAAGAGGTTCAATTTTACTATATCTTTCTTTTTATACTCCTGTTAAAATTATCAAGTATTATTTCCATAAGTAGTTGTGATGAGGCATCCTCAGGTATTGAGTGTATTATAAAGATCATGTGTGTAACTTCGAAATTTTGACCATTGTTGATCTTTCAGTCGGGTTTTACCTAAGAAGTCTTTTTCAGCCAGATTCTCAAGATACATCTCTTACGTAGTTGATCTTAGAATATGTCTTTTTTCAGGCAATTCTAACATTTAGTTGATGCCTCTAGATTTAGTTCATAAAAAGAAGTTTATTTAGTAAACCTATAGTGTACATTTAATTTGGGTTTTTCTGTGTACAATCTGTTTGAAACTTATTAGATTTTTCTAATTTACTGCCAGTCATAAGAAATGTTGACAGAATGGCAGATCATTACAACTGATTTACTGGAGCATAAAGTTGTCAAGATGTCTTGTCAGGTTGACGATTGGTTCTTTGTTTAGGGAATACTGTTCTCCGTGTTCTCTGAATAATGCAAATATTTTGTTTAGATACAGTCCACATTACAGCAGTCCATATGTGCTTCACAAATCTTTGAAATAATTAGTCATATAGCAACTTTAAATGATGAAATTTTACAAAGTGTATTACAAAACGTTCGAAATGGTTGGCCAGACTTTAAACGAGACGTTAATCCGAAAATTCTTGATTATTTTTCTGTTCGTGAAAGATTGTGTGAAATAGATGGATTATTAATTTATTGTAGTAGAATAGTCATACCCAAGTCGATGCGCCAAGAAATGATTAATAGAATTCATGATGGTCATTTAGGAATTACTAAGTGCAGAGAGAGAATCAACATGAGTATTTGGTGGCCAGGAATTTTGAAAGAAATGGAACAAAAAGTACAGTCTTGTGAATTTTGCCAGAGCAGTAGATCAACTCAACGAAAAGAACCATTGTTGCCAACAAGTATGCCTGAACGTCCTTGGCAACATTTGGGTGCAGATTTACTAACTTTTAAAAGTAAACAATATATGCTAATAGTTGACTATTTCTCAAGATATATTGAAATAATTTATATGAGTTCAACAACAAGTGCAAATACAATTCATAAGTTTAAAGACTGTTTTGCTAGATTTGGAATACCAGAATTGTTGACCACTGACAACGGTCCACAGTTCAGTTCTGCTGAGTTTAATAGATTTTGTAATGATTATGGTATAAACCATGTCAAAACCAGTCCTTACTTCGCCTCAGCTAATGGTGAAGCGGAAAGAGCGGTCCAGACTGCAAAGAAGATTTTAAGCCAAGATGATCCAATATTAGCTTTATTGGTTTACAGATCAACGCCCTTGCAAACTACAGGTGCAAGTCCTGCTCAATTATTAATGGGAAGACAACTCCGTACAACCTTACCAACTTTATCCAGACATTTAAAACCAAGATGGCCGAATCTTAAAAATGTGAGGGGAAGGGACAAAGATCATAAAGAAAGGACAAAGCAAAATTTTGATCACCATAATTCCTCACGTGATTTGAAAGAACTTAACCCAGGTGACAATATTATAGTGAAGTTAGATTGGGAAAAACGTGGAATTCCAGGAGTCGTAATACGCAAATGTACTCAACCGCGTTCATATATGATTAGGACAAAATACGGATTATTCCGAAGAAATCGTAGACATTTATTTCTTGCTAATAAAGTTCGATTTGCTGCTAATGCGTTCGATGAAGATTTTGATCCGATTGATATAGATATTCGAGTTAACAATCATCAGGATGTGAATCCACCGGATCCACCTCCTGATATTCCGCAACTTCCAGTTCGTGTAGAACAACCTGTCTTGCGTCGCTCAGGTCGTACAATTGTTAAACCTGCGCGATATCGTGATTAAATAGCAGTACATTGAAATTTATGTTGTGTATTAAAAGTTATTAAGTAAATAACAGAATAATTGTGTTAAATGAAAAGATTATTATTAGTGTATGCATTTCAGATCAAACTAGTGATACATAGTTTTAAAATAGTTATTTAAATTAAAAGGAGGGAGATGTTGAGAATATGAACACTAGTTTGATAAAGACTATAGCTATAAATAGAATATTGATATAGACTATAGATTGCATGCATGGTCAGTATTAGTATTATAAAGTTTGCAGTCATCCTTGCTAGTCATGTAACATGTGCTTGATGTCTTATATATAAATCTTATTAATGCAATAGCTGTTTTCATTCCATCCTGATGAGCGAATGCCAGTCGGCCTCTGGTGATTCGACAGTTATAATGAACATGCCTAAATTGCATTGCATCCCGAGCAGTAAATTTGACGATTCAAGTATATATGACCACCATCTTGTAAACCATCTTGAAAATTAAGGGAGCTAATCAAACACTTGACTGTAACCGAGATTATATTTCTAGTAACATACCGCGATCGCAATCCAGTAACCATTTAATGGAACAAAGAAATGTGTTTTCTCACAAAATAACAAAATGCACTCTTTGCACTTGTAGATGAATTCAGACGATTTTAATAACCTAGTTCAAGACATTTTTATGACGGAATATGAAAGTGAAATTTGATAGACTTGTTGAAGTAGGAACATTGTTCGAAGTGTTATTCTTGGAATTTTATTATTGAAATACATTGGATTTTGTAATAACTTCATTGTATTTTTTTTCAACAGACTACTTTCATTTTGTTTCTGTTAAAAAAGGATTTTCTGGGTGAAAAGATTTAACGGTTAGTCCCTTCAAAGTGAAGGCAAAAATTTCACATATTTTTATGTATTCGATACTTTCAAGGAATTGCCATGCCGCGTCAGTCGCAACAAATGTTATTTCGTTTCCTGATCAGTGCTAATGGGACACAGGGGAGGGGCTCAAGTCTACAACTTTGTAATTTTGTGAAAAATTATTATGTGTCAGGGACACAAAAGCAATAAGCATACAACCCCCTTCCATTTATGTATACATTGAACAGAACACAGATGCTTTCAAAGAATGAACAAGTTTCAAATTTGTTTCATACTAAAGAATACGCTGACTTATACGGATGAAAATATATTGGGTTCATTGTATACCTTAAACCTTAAAATAATTGTACAAGTCTTAAAATATATTTTACAAATACATGTACGTGTAAACGTATATTATATGCTGTATCATTGAGACATCGTGTACAAAATTATGGGAGATTTTCTATTCCATTTTGAAATCTAATCATCATTATGAAATCAATAATCAATTTATTACATAGAGCATAACAGAATTAACCCATCATTGATAATAACATCTTGATTACTAAGAAAGTCTAACAGAATTAGCCTGTCAATGTTCTGATAGTTCAGTGATTTATTAGATGTAAGAAATTTAATATACAGACATATAACATAATTTACACCTTTTAATATCAATATTTATTTCTGATATATGATTCTTAACCCCTCTTGAAAACCTACATCATTAAAGGTATCCCTTCAGCTAATGCTGGTTGCAGGAGACAGCTTAGTAAGGTTAAACCGTTCAATAGAATAGACGAAATAATGCACCAGTGCTATACTAAGTAGAGTATACAAGTCTTGTATGTGTAAGAGACATTTTCAGATATTTTTGGAGAAACCACAGACGTAGGACGGAAAATTGGTGTACCTGAAGAGAACGATACACATACTCACATTGCAAACTAAAAACAGCCGTTAATTTTTAACCAAAAACTATTTCATAACATTACGTAAGTTTGTTTTTTTAAAGGGACAGGTGGGCCTTTTTTTTACCAATCACATTTTAGTCACAGAAACAGAATTTTTTTTAAGACAATCAGTAATAGTGTTCTCAGCTCACTGTTGAAATTTTAACCTTCAAATCCATGTGAGTCCAGAAATATCCGTGTTTGAATGTTAAAATGACGACTCGTCAATATAAGATACTCTTTGATATATAGAAAATATCATATATAGAAATAATGAGTAAAATTTCTAGTTTGAAGTATTTTAAAGGAATTAAATACATTTCAAGTACTTCTGAAGACTATTTACGACTCAGATCAAACCCCCAAAATGGCGCATCAATCCTTTTAAAGTTCGTTTTGTGGTAGGTGTAGGAAATATCGAGCCATTGTAATGCCAAACACCAAAATTAGGTCAAACTGTTTAATCAACAATTAGTACGCCCTGTGTTTAATTAATCCCAACGCCGTCACTGTAACTGCACGCAAAACTACTATTTTTCTCCTTCATATTTCTCGTTCGCGTTTGTTTTGCTCAAATACGAACAGTGGTTTTCTAACAACAACCAAGAAACATAACGAATTTAAAATGTTTACATAAACCTTTCAAAACGTTTTGTCGTTAAAAGGGCTTTGATAGGAATTTTTTTAATTCAAACTTTCAGAATACATTTCTCTGGATTTTGGTGTATTTTTTTCATAAATTTGAAGAAAGTTTTTTTTTCGATCTGCGAAAAAATCACAATGCCCCTTTAAAAAGATCCAGTTGTTCCATTACGATGGCAATAATAAACTAAGCTTATATAAAGCAGCAGTAAGAGAAATGTAATGATAAGTAATTATAGGTCTACAATGAATACACGATCTGACAAATTGAGTTGATATTGAGACGGTGATGATCTGGTTTCTGATATAAATGTCGCCAACACCAACAGATATTCTCGTTAAAACGTTCTTCATTTATCATTCATTCAGTTGAACATGTTTCATATCTTCGACAGTTAAATTTATAGTTAATAGAGGCTAATGTCACTGTCCTGGCAATATTTTCCTCATTGCTCACAGTATGATGTTGTCCTTCTTCATTAACCCGATCAAATGCAGAAAAGTAAAACGTTAAACATATCATTTTATTTAGTTAAAAGTTTAAATTTCCTTTTAAGTTTTAAGTTGAACAAATACGGAAAAAAGCACGGAGAAAGAATCTAACTAGTACATAACTAAAATCCTTTGATCAAGAAAAAACGTCAGATGTAACTGACACAAACGAGAAAGCATACAACAGTTAATATACAGTATACATGTATATCAAAAATAAAAAATTAAATATTTATATTTGAAATTATAAATTAGGTTATATGTCTGTATATTATATTTATCTGATAAATCACTGAATCACAATGTCAAGGTATAACAAACTTTGTCTTTCTCTACAATTTGGCATTTATTTTGCTTAAATCTATACAGAAGTTTTCCTACACCTACCACAAAACGAACTTTAAAGGGATAGATGCGCCATTTTGGGGGTTTGATCTGAGTCGTAAATATACGTAAATAGTCTTAGTACTTGAAATGTATTTAATTCCTTTAAAATACTTCAAACTAGAAATTTTACTCATTATTTCTATATATGATATTTTCTATATATCAAAGAGTATCTTATATTGACGAGTCGTCATTTTAACATTCAAACACGGATATTTCTGGACTCACATGGATTTGAAGGTTAAAATTTCAACAGTGAGCTGAGAACACTATTACTGATTGCCTTAAAAAAAAATCTGTTTCTGTGACTAAAGTGTGATTGGTAAAAAAATGGCCCACCTGTCCCTTTAAAAAAAACAAACTTACGTAATGTTATGAAATAGTTTTTGGTTAAAAATTAACGGCTGTTTTTAGTTTGCAATGTGAGTATGTGTATCGTTCTCTTCAGGTACACCAATTTTCCGTCCTACGTCTGTGGTTTCTCCAAAAATATCTGAAAATGTCTCTTACACATACAAGACTTGTATACTCTACTTAGTATAGCACTGGTGCATTATTTCGTCTATTCTATTGAACGGTTTAACCTTACTAAGCTGTCTCCTGCAACCAGCATTAGCTGAAGGGATACCTTTAATGATGTAGGTTTTCAAGAGGTGGTTAACAATCATATATCAGAAATAAATATTGATATTAAAAGGTGTAAATTATGTTATATGTCTGTATATTAAATTTCTTACATCTAATAAATCACTGAACTATCAGAACATTGACAGGCTAATTCTGTTAGACTTTCTTAGTAATCAAGATGTTATTATCAATGATGGGTTAATTCTATTATGCTCTATGTAATAAATTGATTATTGATTTAGGAAAGTTGTCAATCGGTGAAGGGTGTTAATTAATTACGCGGATATTCTCCTAAATAAATTGATGGTGAAATACCACGGACATCATCACGGATGCGTCCAATCGTTTTCGGTAGCCGGTACACAGGCTATCAATGAATATCTTGAAGACAAATATCAGTGATGAAAAAGGTTATGGGAGTAAAAATCAACTTGCTGAGTCACAATAACGACCTAGTTTAATTATAAACCTTACATGGAATTTAATAAAGAAATTAATATAGTTTCTTATTAGAGATATATTATTGTTCTCATCATGTACATTATTAAAGTCAATTAATTTAAATCGATATGCTTCCAATTATACGGTTCTCTGTATGTTCACCTCACTCTTATGTCAAGGGCGTATACATCTGTATATATAATGGATTGTTACATGTACCATGAATATCGAAAGAAAATGTTTGTTGTTTTTATTTGATTAAGTTGGGAAAGTTAGGTGCTCAAATTATGAAAACTATTAACCAAAATCTAGATAAATGTATCTCTTACTATATCTATAAGGTGAAATTAAAGGATCAAAACTACTTTTTGTTTTGGTCAGTGTCGAAACACTTCTTGTGTTCAGATTTAGTCACATTAAACGGTTTATGGCATATGATGAAGTGCATTTAATTTAAAAATTAATAATAGAGATATGAAGGTGATCATGAACATGATGATGTTGGCTTATGTAATGAAGATATTAAAAAAACATTATCAAATCACAGGATAATACTGATGAAAATGGTATTGCATCTGTCTGAAGATGATAATAATGCGGATGATGATGATGA